TTTGACAGAGTTGATAGTAATATTGAGAAAAAGTCAAATTCAACTTGTTCGGTAGTTTTAAGAAAAAGATAATAATTTTTATTACATATTGGTGTCTCTCAGGAAAAGGAGAATGATTGTAGTTTGTTTTCTCCTTTCTGAGACAATTTCCTCAGCCTGTCTGTTCATAGATTGGTTTCCATCTTTGATTGCTTGCCCAGTATTGTATAGATGGCTAAGCTAGAGATACTTTCAGAGGAGGACACATAAAAGTTATCAGAAAAAATTTGGACAAGCTTCTCATCATTTATTTCTCAAATAATAGAAACAGTCATAAGAATAGTTCTAGCCATCAATAGACATGTATCATTGCTTAGACAGAGTGTGTATAATTTGGGCCCACAAATATTTCACTCAACTTTTCAGAGAGGTTGCTTCTCAAAACTGTATCCCTGTAATCAAGGGAACAGAAGAGTGAGGAAAGAAAGATGAGGGAGCCAGGAGAAAGACCTTTACCACAACCTTCCAGTTTTGTTTCTGCCAGGCCTGGGACAAAGCAGTCAGCCCCCCGATCTCCCTAATATCTACACCTCAGCAAATTTTCCCCTTTCCATATGAGGTCAGTGACCATTTGTACTACTTATAATACTGCCTACAGGAAGAATTTATTCAAGACTATTCTTCCATCCCTGGGTAAGATATAATGTGGTGACAATCCACTTTTCTTAGCATTAATATACTGTGAGGATTGATGGGTAAACTGGACCTAAGTTGTCTCTTTTTCCATTATTTGGTCACAGGGCACCACCCTCTCCCCCCGCATGAGGCCTTAGGTATGAGTTGAGGGAGGGGAAGTGGTGAAACAGTGACAGGTGACATGAGACTTTAAGAGGCATATGCATGTCATTTATTCGTGGTCCCTGAGCATGTTCAGACTATGGCCCAATGTTTTATTTCTATCATAAATCTGCTGATGGTTCCACCCAAATTTATCACTCATTGTATCTGATACCATGATGGGCAGCTCTAGTTGTACAGTCACCTGGTGTTCCCTGATCAGTCACACAGTTACTACTATAATCTAATAAAATATCCAGGAAAAATTTTGATATGAGACCATTCTTGTTGTCCCCAATTCTGGGGCCTCCTAAGTTTTATGGGCTCTGCCCATCTCAAAGCCTGGTTCTTCAGGCTTTCTACCAAAAATGAGCACCTGAATCCTTCCAACAAATTCCCTTAATGTAGGTTTAACAGAGTTTACTTTGGTTTCTTGCAACCAAAGAACCCTAATGCATAAAAGTAGTGTGCTGGTCAGGCAGGTTAGGTAATAATTAGTTCCTCCATTCATGAAAAGTAAGCAATGTATTTTTGTATAACATATGTTATTACCATGACATTATTTTATTGATTGGCTAGAGCAAAGCATAAGAAACTGTGTTTTTCCAATCTGCCCAAGTTACAAAGAAAATAGCTCAGGTCATTTAGCTTTAGAGTACATCAAAGTAAAATACCACAATTCAGTTCAGTTCAGTCACTCAGTCATGTCCGACTCTGCAACACCATGAATCGCAGCATGCCAGGCCTCCCTGTCCATCACCAACTCCTGGAGTTTACTTGAACTCATGCCCATTGAGTCAATGATGCCATCCAGCCATCTCATCCTCTGTCGTCCCCTTCTCCTCCTGCCCCCAATCCCTCCCAGCATCAGGGTCTTTTCCAGTGAGTCAACTCTTCGCATAAGGTGGCCAAAGTAGTGGCGTTTCAGCTTCATCATCAGTCCTTCCAAAGAACACCCAAGACTTATCTCCTTCAGGATGGACTGGTTGGATCTCCTTGCAGTCCAAGGGACTCTCAAGAGTCTTCTCCAACACCACAGTTCAATTTTTCAGTGATCAGCTTTCTTCACAGTCCAGCTCTCACATCCATACATGACCACTGGAAAAACCATAGCCTTGACCAGATGCACCTTTGTTGGCAAAGTAATGTCTCTACTTTTTAATATGCTATCTAGGTTGGTCACAACTTTCCTTCCAAGGAGTAAGCGTCTTTTAATTTCATGGCTGCAATCACCATCTGCATTGATTTTGGAGCCCAAAAAAATAAAGTCCGACACTGTTTCCACTGTCTCCCCATCTATTTCCCATGAGGGGATGGGACCAGATTCCATGATCTTAGATTTCTGAATGTTAAGCTTTAAGCCAACTTTTTCACTCTCCTCTTTAACTTTCATCAAGAGGCTTTTTAGTTCCTCTTCACTTTCTGCCATAAGGGTGGTGTCAACTGCATATCTGAGGTTATTGATATTTCTCCCAGCAATCTTGGTTCCAGCTTGTGCTTCTTCCAGATCAGCATTTCTCATGATGTACTCTGCATATAAGTTAAATAAGTAGGGTGACAATATACAGCTTTGACGTGCTCCTTTTCCTATTGGGGCGGCTGTGAGAAGATATCCCATCCAAGGTAAGGAGCAGCAGCTGCCCTTTGCTGGAGCAGCCATGAAGAGATACCCCACATCCAAGGTAAGAGAAACCCACGTAAGATGGTAGGTGTTGTGAGAGGGCATCAGAGGGCAGACACACTAAAACCATAATCACAGAAAACTAGCCAATCTGATCACAGGACCACAGTCTTGTCTAACTCAATGAAACTAAGCCATGCCATGTGGGGCCACCCAAGATGGTTGGGTCATGCTGGAGAAGTCTGACAGAATGCGGTCCACTGGAGATGGGAATGGCAAACCACTTCAGTATTCTTGCCTTGAGAACCCCATGAACAATATGAGAAGGCAAAATGATAGGATACTGAAAGAGGAACTTCCCAGGTCAGGAAGTGCCCAATATGCTAATGAGATCAGTGGAGAAATAACTCCAGAAAGAATGAAGGGATGGAGCCAAAGCATAAACAATACCCAGTTGTGGATGGGACTGGTGAGAGAAGCAAGGTCTGATGCTGTAAAGAGCAATATTGCATAGGAACCTGGAATGTTAGGTCCATGAATCAAGGCAAAATGGAAGTGGTCAAACAGGAGATGGCAAGAGTGAATGTCAACATTCTAGGAATCAGGGAACTAAAATGGACTGGAATGGGTGAATTTAACTCAGATGACCATTATATCTACTACTGTGGGCAGGAATCCCTTAGAAGAAAAGGAGTAGCCATCATAGTCAACAAAAGAGTCCAAAATGCAGTACTTGGATGCAATCTCAAAAACGACAGAATGATCTCTGTTCATTTCCAAGGGAAACCGTTCAATATCACGGCAATCCAAGCCTATGCCCCAACCAGTAACACTGAAGAAGCCAAAGTTGAGTGATTCTATGAAGACCTACAAGACCTTTTAGAACTAACATCCAAAAAACACCACAACACTGCTTACATCTAATCTGATCCTAGACTTCCTTCTGTGGTTGTTTCACATCCAATTCACACAATTGTACAAAGTTATGTATTTAACTAACCTAAGAGTATAATTATATATCTCACTCTAGAAATTATGCCAACTTTATATAAAAGGAAAATAAACTACAAAGATTTTTGCATACTTTAATAAGAATTATATTTTTATACCTTCTTAGGTTTGCTTAGAACATTAAAAGGGGGGAAATATCAATACCATTCTTAGACTCCTTTTTCCCTTGAAAACAACTTCCTAGAAATTGGTCATAGACAGAGGCTGGTAGCTGGAGGGCAGAAATGAAGAGATGTTTTGCTGCTTTCCCTTTGAAATTTTAACATTTTGCATTATGTGAACAGATAGTTTCCAAGAAAAATAAGTTGTCAAGAAGGAAAGCAAATAATCCAATAAGTACTTGCATGTATTGATGTATCTTTGTATGATGGAATAATAAACATCCATTAAAAAATCATATGGTTAGGCAATACTAAATAGTAATGTTTGGGGCTTCCCTGGTGGTTCAGATGGTAAAGAATCTGCCCGTTATGCAGGGGACCTGGGTTTGATCCCTGGGTCAGGAACATCCCTTGGAGAAGGGAATGGATACCCACTCCAGTATTCTTGCCTGGGGAGTTCCATTAACAGAGAAGCCTGGCAGGCTACAGTGCATGGGTCACAAACAGTCAGACACAACTGAAGGACTAACACTAACACTAATAATAATATTGAGGGGTGACATTGGATAGTAAAAACAAAAAGAAAAATAAGGAAATGATTACCATGAAGTCAATTATTGTTCAGTTGCTAAGTCGTTTCCAACTCTTTGTAACCCCATGGACAGGACTGCAGCATAAAGTCATTAGGGCAATACATTTTAGCAAGGAAGAGAGGGTTACATTAAAAGAGTGCTTCTAGGGTGGCTGAAAGAGGTAGTAGCTGAAAAAGTGTTTATATTTCATTTTGCAGTTTTCTGTATTTGCATCATATTTAAAATGTATAATTTTTAAGAAAGAAATATTGTTTCTAAGGATTTTTTAATGGGGTGGGAAAATGCTCATGATATAAAATTCAAAGGAAAAAAGAAAGATACACAGTTCTGATGCACTATGATCCCAATTATGTATCTGTATGTTGGATATTTATAGAAATATACATTAAGATACATATGTTAATTTTACTTTTTATGTTTTTTGTTACTTATACAGTTGCCATATTTTCTTTAGTGTACTATATAATAATTTATAAGGTGAAAGTTTTATTACAAACAATAAGGTGATAACCCTACCTTGTAGGGCAAATATTATCCTTTAATCTTCTTCAGTTCCTATAAACTTAGGCATTTAACATGATATACAGGTTTAGAGCTAAAAAAAAAATCACTAGACCATCTTCTCACACACCTACATTATACAGATGTAGAAACCAAGCAGCAGGTAAGCTAACTGACATGGCCAGGATCAAGGATCAGTTAGTTGAAGACTTCAGTTCAGTTCAGTTCAGTTGCTCAGTCATGTCCGACTCTTTGCGACCCCATGAATCGCAGCACGCCAGGCCTCCTTGTCCATCACCAACTCCCGGAGTTTACTCAAACTCATGCCCATCAAGTCGGTGATGCCATCCAGCCATCTCATCCTCTTCTCCTCCTGCCCCCAATCCCTCCAAGCATCAGGGTCTTTTCCAATGAGTCAACTCTTTGCATGAGGTGGCCACAGACTTGGGAGAAGGCCATAAGAGTAAGGATGGAGGACACAAAGCCTTGCTCTCTAAAAAAAGTTTCACCACCTTTACAAAACATGAGTATGTGAGAATTAAAATTAAGCAATATCACCAGTAATATGTAAATTTGTAATGCAATAACACCCTAGTAAAGCAAATGTCAATAACTAAATTGGAGAATTTTTATTTTTGAATTTTTTGAAAAAAGAAAGGAAGAAAGAAACAGCAACAACACACTTTGAACTTCTATAAGATCTGCCTGAATTCACCTATCTAATAAAGTAAATGTAACTTGTCACTGCAATAAAGTCCATTATTGATGTTTTTAATGTTATAAAAATGGCACAATGTATGTGCAACTTCTTTAAATCAAGCTTGTTTTGACAAGATGTTTCTGAGTTCCCCCTCATTTGCACTTACCCTCACTTCTGTGCCACATGGAAACAATGGAAACAGTGACAGACTTTAATTTGCTGGGCTCCAAAATCACTGCAGATGGTGACTGCAACGATGAAATTAAAAGATGCTTGCTCCTTGGAAGGAAACTATGACAAACCTCGACAGCATATTTAAAAGCAGAGACATTACTTTGCCAACAAAGGTCCATCTAGTCAAAGCTGTGGTTTTTCCAGTAGTCATGTATGGATGTGAGAGCTGGGCCATAATGAAAGCTGAACACCAAAGAATTCATTCTTTTGAACTATGGTGTTGAAGAGGACTTGTGAGAGTCCCTTGGCCTGCAGGAAGATCCAACCAGTCCATCCTAAAAAAAAAAAAAAAAAAAAAAAATCAGTCCTGAACATTCATTGGAAGGACTGATGCTTAAGCAGAAGTTCACATTAGTCACCAGATGTGAAGAACTGACTCTTTGGAAAAGACCCTGATGCTGGGAAAGATTGAATGCAGGAGGAGAACTGGATGACAGAGGATGAGATTGTTGGATGGTATCATCAATTCAATGGACATAAATGTGGGGAAACTCTGGGAGATGGTGAGGGACCGGGAAGGCTGGCTTGCTACCGTCCATGGGGTCACAAAGAGTTGGACATGACTGAGCAACTGAACTGAACTGAACTGTGCCACGTGGACTCAAGCAACTTTGACAAACCCCACGTGACTTCACAATACCTCCTAGAGAGAAGGAAAAAAAGAAAGACAAATTATTCTCCTTTGGTTCTAATTGGTTTATAATTGATTCTTTGATCATTTCTTAGAAATTAGTTTTCTAAACTCTTGCTTTAACTCCTTAATATGTAATGTTGGAACTTTCTTCCCCACTTTTTATTCCTTGAAAGATAATCCCTAACCTCCAACATTCACTGAGTGCCTACTGTGTACCAGATGCCATTCTCAGGCTTGTGGATACAGAAATAAGGTAAACATAGTTTCTTCCCTCAAGAAGCCAATTATTCAGTGGAGCAGCTAGACAAATAACCTGCTGGTGGCAACAAGATGTGGTTAGTGATATAAGGAAATCAGTGAATGCTCTGTTCATGTCACTTCTTACCCAGGAGTGTTATCAGCTAACACTTAACATGTGTTTGGGCTACACTTTCAACACTCTGCAACATCTTAGGTCCACAAGATGAACACAGTTGAAGCCCTACAGATCCAAATCCCCAATTCATGTACATAATATTAATACTTTGTGAGATAAGTACTTTCCCAGACTCCTTTCTATTGAGGATATCAGTATGGTACAGTCCTGCCAATGAGGCTTCATGGAAATCTGCTAGGAGACTTTTGAGAATTTCTAACCATTTGTGAAAGGGACAAGACTAAGAGCTTCTTTAGTCACTTCTTTCATCTGAAAGCAGATGAAATATTTGGAACTACAGCAGCCATGGAGCAATGAGGTGACAAAAGACAGGCAAAAGCCAGCATGCAAAGGACAAGAAAAGAAAGCATTTATATCCTTGGAAACATTTCAAAATGACTCCCTGTCCTAATTTCTGTTAAGTGAAAGTGAAAGTCGCTCATTCATGTCCAACTCTTTGCGACCCCATGGAATTCTCCAGGACAGAGAACTGGAGTGGGTAGCCTTTCCCTTCTCCAGAGACCTTCCCAACCCAGGGGTTGAACCCAGGTATTCTTTATATTCTGTACATTCTTTACATTGTGGGCCTATTCTTTACCGGCTGAGCCACCAGGGAAGTCCTGTTAGTAAATGTTAAATGTCCCAATGTTTTAAGTCACTTATAAATGGCTATTCTGTTACCTGCTGCTGATAAAACACTTCCTATATAGATAAATATCTGTCTGTTCATCTCTCCAGTCTTAGTACTGAGAACAGTAGCTGAAATGGAGTAAGTGGGCAAAGAATATTTGTTAAAAGAATTAAAAGTGAATCAATTTTTAGATGAGATACTAAACATCATACTTAAACTTATGGATGGTAAGGATTTTTTTTTATTTTATTTTATATAGAATTTTCATTTTGAGAGTAATTCTCCAAAAAAAAAAAAAAATACCCAATGCAAATTTTGTTTGCCTTACACTGCTTTTTCCTTGATAACAAAATCCCAGATTTGAGGGAGAACAGATTTTTCTCCAGTCCATGGGAGATCTATCTTGTTGGACCAAGCCAATCATGGTAGTCTCATACCCATTATTGGGTGAGTGACCTACGACTGACAAACAACCAATGGGGCTAAATCTTCTGCGGGATTGGGGAAGAGTTGTTCATCACTAAGAAAATATGATACTCAGAAGGAAATGATTCTCTCCTCAGATTTTCATGTGATGCAGCAACCATCTTTCAAAATGAAGGATGAAGCAATGAAGACTAAGCTACCACACCAAGAATGGGACCCTAGAGAGGTGGAAAGAACCTGGGTCCTTACTGACATTGTTGGGCCAGTCCAGAAGCCAAACTCTCTCCATATTTTTTGCCACATAATAAAGATACTCCAGGTTAAGAATCATAGGAAAATGGGAGTTTTAATTCAAATGAAGCTTTACAATTTTTCAGTTAATTTATTTATTTTAATTGGAGAATAATTATAGCATTGTGATAATTTTTGTCATACATCAACATGAATAGGCCACAAGTATATAATTTTTAATAAGGAAGATGCACTAATGCATTTGTTTGAACACAAGTTGTTTTGTTGTTCAGTGACTGAGTTGTGTCTGACTCTTTGCAAGCCCATGGATTGTAGCACGCCAGGCTTCCCTGTCCCTCACCATCTCCCGGAGTTTGCCCAAGTTCATATCCATTGTATTGGTGATGCCATCCTACCATGTCATCCTCTGTTGCCCTCTTCTCCTTCTGCCTTCAATCTTTCCCACAATCAGGGTCTTTTCCAATGAATCAGGTGTTCACCTGATGTTCACATCAGATGGCCCAAGTATTGAAACTTCAGCTTCAGTATCAGTCCTTCCAAAGACTATTCAGTGTTGATTTCCTTTAAAATTGACTGGTTTGAAAAAAAAAAATAAAATAAATTGACTGGTTTGATCTTCTTGCTTTCCAGGATACTCTCAAGAGTCTTCTCCAGCACCACAGTTTGAAATCATCAATTCTTCAATACTCTGCCTTTGTTGCCCAGCTCTCACATCCATATGTGACTACTGGAAAACCATAGCCTTGACTATATGGACCTTTGTTGGCAAACTGATGTCTTTGCTTTTTAATATACTATCTAGGTCTGTCATAGGTTTCCTGCCAAGGAGCAGCTGTCTTTTAATTTCATGGCTGCAGTTACCATCTGCAGTGATTTTGGAGTCCAGGAAAATAACTTAGAAATAGTATGGTCTGATTTATTCTAAGATATGTTGTCATTTACTTAAAAATATATCTTTGAAGAGAAAAATCATTGTAATGCTGTTAACTTTTGTTATTTTGTCATTTTGAATTGGTCCTATTGAAAACCCTGCTATTTTTATTACCTTGTCTGAAATCTAAACTATCAGTAGGACAGCAAAGCACATTTTAATGAAATTTAAACTTGTAACCCCAAACAAGTAGAAGACTGAAAATGAGACTAATCTGTCAGTCAGGCAATTTTGTAAATCTGGCACTAAACTCTGTGAATCTTCCTATCCAAAAGGTCAGCAGAAGTTAAGTCTTCCTTGCACAAGTTAATACTACATCCTTTGCCAAGAACACCTGGTAAAATAAAGAATTCCATTGTTTTAATAGATTGACCTAGCATCTTAGTCAGAAAGATTTTTTTAATAGTAATTCAGTTGAAAAGACAGAATAGTCAAATTGTTTTAAGGCAGAAACACTTCAAAGTAGTACTTAAGAGCTCTGAAGTTTGATAGATATGGATTTGAGTTGTGGCTGTACCAGTTGTGAGATTTTAGTAAGTCAATTTCACTTCTCTATAACTCAGTTTCTCCACTTGTAAGAATGATGAAAATAGGAGCTCAAACACAGCTGTATTTGAGCTCCTATTTGTCTCTCTCTCAATATCCATTCTCCCTTTCTTCCTTGACAATAGAATCTTAATTCTAGGCCTTAATTCTTAATTCTAGGCTAGGCTAGGCAAATGACTGAAAAATAATCTTTTACAACTGGGTGTGGTTATCTGCCTAAGTTTTGGAATACATGTAGAAATGATATGTGTTACTTCTGGGAAGTGTCTTTAAAGAAAAGGAGTGTCACCCCCTTACCCTTTCTTCTTTCCACCTCTGGAATATGGACATGATGGCATTAGCTGTAACAGCTACCTTTGTCCATGAAGAACCTTGGGAATGGAAGCTGCCAGAAGCATGAGACAGGAAGAGATTGAATCCCTGCCACCAATGTCATATCAACCCTGGACTGACTACTTCTGAATCACAGACATACCTAAGAGACATCTTAGGTTGTGTTCCAGAACACCATGACAAAATAAATACCACAAAAAAGCAAGCCACATGAATTTTTTTCCCCTATGCTTATAAAAGTTACGTTTTACACTATACAATAGTTTATTAAGTGAGCAAGAGCTTTATGTCTAAAGAAACAATGTACAAACCTAATTAAAACATACTTAATTGCTAAAAAATGTTAACCATCATATGGGCCTTCAGAAAGTCACAGTAGTAACATCACAGACCTCTGATCACAGATCAACCATAACAAATAAAATAATGATGAAAAAGTTTGAAATATTGAAAGAATTACCAAAATGTGACCTAGAGATATGAAGTGACAAATGCTGTTGGGAAAACGAGACTTACTCAGTGAAGGGTTGCCACAAATCTTCAGTGTATAAAAAACGCAGCATTTGCAAAGCACAGTGATCAAAGCACTGCAAAACAAAAGCTGCTTGTACTTGAAAAGGACAAGAAATAAAACATCTGACTTAAGCCATTGTTTCATAATGTTTAATTCTTTTTTCTGTCAACCCTAATCCTAATTGATAATACTACCACAAAGAAAAGTTACTAGAATTAAATAAGAAAGTGTGCCAGTTGTATAGTGAGCATACAAATGATGCCAATTATTATTATTATTATAATGATGATGATGAGTCAGACAATATTATGAGCTAAATATTCAGCAAAATAAAGTATATCTAGAAAAGCTTACCTTTCAGATCAATAGTATTAAGGAATTTAATAGACACAGCAAAATATATACTCTCACTTGGGATGCAACTTTTAGTGTTATTA